ATTTTGTTATATGTATATTTCTACTCTTGTTTAGGCATTGTGTTTATACAGTTCTTCTAAAAATATAATGTAAAATTGAGTACAGATTATCAATAATCATCTATAGTAGTCACAACTTATGTTAGTTAGGTTTTCTAGATATACTAAAATATGTTTCAAGTGGATAGGCATTCTTCAAAACCTTTCAAAGACTTAGAGAATATGGCATTTAAAATGGCTTACTAGGGTTTTTCATAACATCGAGACACAACTGCTCCTGGTAACACTAGTTATATCAGAGAGGAAGATGGGTATCGAAGAAACTTGCTATGGATTTTGCTTCAGCATGGCAGAGATAGTCATTTAGGCAAGAAAATGCTCTTGCCTGGACTGCTTGATAGCACGCTGTCTAAACTGGACAAGCAGATTACAAAGCAAAGTGACTGCTGAACTTGCCAAGGGACAGGATGGTCCGTCAAGGTTCCTGCTTCATCAAAAAATCTGCCAGAGCCCATTGGCTGAATATGGATGCCTCAACATTACAGAGGAAATTTGCATGGCTGTCCAGGCATCGAGATGTCTCTGTCAATTCTAGAGTGTATCTACTATTCTTCTGGGACCTTTGATGGAGTTGAAGACAGATAGGTATGGTTATGGTGTTCCTTAGTTATGATAAAAGATAAGTTACACATAAAACTTTAGACTCACAAAGATGGGATGGATTATAGAATATTTTCCTTACATTTTCCCAAATGTTAGTGGACTAAATATTGTTAGCTTTAGTTCTTGCTTTGACAACTGTTTTGTTATACGTATTTTTATGTTAAAGTTAAAACCTTCCTTTTTATGTAGACATAAAAGAGGAGATGATGAGGGATATACTTCTGCATGCTGTGAATACATGTTTCTCTTATTGGTAGATGACTAAAGCCGTTTTGGCCAATGGACTGTCAGGATTTAGCCAGGCAGGAAATCCAAACAGGGGTAGAGAAAAGTAATAGGCAGAGTTGAGGAGAGTCCATGTAGCTGCTGAGAAAGGAAGAGACCCTGGCATCACTGGTAAGCCAAGATCACATGGAGATACACAGATTAAAGGAAATGGGCTAACAGGACTGGAGAGATGACTCGGCCGTTAAAGGCTCACAACCAAAAATACAAGAAGTGGGTTAATAATTAAGAGAGAGCTAGCCGATAATAAGCCTGAACCACCGGCCAAACAGTTTATATTTAATATAAGCGACTGTATGTTTATTTGTGGCTGCGGGATCAGGCAGGACAGAAATTTCTGTCAACAGGAGGGCCCAGCCTATTGTGGGTGGTTCCACCACTGGGATGGTGGCTGGTCCTGGGTTCTAAAAGAAAGGAGGATGAGGAGGGCAGGGTAAGCAAGCCAGTAAGCAGCACGCCTCCAAGGCCTCTGCATCAGCTCCTGCCTCCAGGTTCCTTTTCTGCTTGAGTTCCTGTTCTGACTTCCTTAGATGGTGGACTATAATCTGAAGTACAAACTAAATAAACCCTTTCCTCCCCAACTTGCTTTTGGGCCATGGTGTTTTTATCTCAGTGACAGAAATCCTAACTAAGACACCATTAGGCAGATTGTAGGCGGATTTTTTCTGTCTCACCATTCAGCTCCAAAATCAAGACACAAAGATTTATTAGTTATGAAAGCTTGGCCAATAGTTTAGCTTCATTTCTAAGCAGCTCTTCTAACTTAAATAGCCATGTCTATTAAGTTACATGCTGCCACATGGCTCATGGTTTGTCCCCTCATATCCTACACATCATGCTTCCTCCGTGACTGGTTGTTGACCTCTCCTTCTTCTTCCCAGCATCCTCTCTGACCCCAAAAGTCCTGCCTAGCTATTGGGCACCTAGTTTTTTATTAAACCAATCACAGTGGCATATCTTCACACAGTATACAGGAATATGCCACAATAGTCCATTACTTAAATTATCGTGCACATGAAAAATTTATACCTACACTTTGACTTTTCTCAATAATTCCAGACTAGCCTATCAGTTAACTCCTTGATACGCCACTACTTAAAATTCTAAAAAAAATCTGAAACAGAAATAAATCATGATTCTTTTTCATCCCAAATTGGTCCTCTGAGGATTCCCTGTGCCAATAGCCTTCTGTTCTACAAACCAGAAATCCAGGAGTCCTCTTTGATACCTTCTCTTACCACCTACGTCTTCTAGACATTAACTCTTACATATGTATGTTATTTTTCAAACAATTTTAAAAATCCATCTACTACATTTTTTTAACCACAGCCACCACGATGTTTCAAACTTCCAGCAACACTAAATAGCTCACTATAAATTTCTCCTACTGTCTCAGTTTCTTGGAATTCACCCTCCATATTGTAACCAGAAGAAGTATTTTTTAAAAATGCTAGATATACCGGCGATGGTGGCAGATGCCTTTTAATCCCAGCACTTGAGAGGACGAACAAAGGCACAGCAGGACCTCCCCTGTCAGTCAACTGTCTTATCTTATAAAAGCCCTGCTTCAATCGTTCCTAATATTGAAACAGGTAAGTACTACTTAACGGTGTGTCCTACTATGGGGAAAGTAAGGTTGCTTGGTTTTAAAAATCCCATGCTAACTAAACGGGGCTATTATATTAATTCTCGCCACCTTGGGGGTTCAGAGAACATTGCAGAGGAGAAGGGGTAAAGAACGTAAGAGCCAAAGGATAGGGGGAACGTGCTGTGAAATGTTGTCTTCTGGACATGGTATGGGCATCACAACCATCGTCTCCCAGCAGCTGCGAGCCCACTCGAGATCAAACCAGCCTAATCACTGGCATATATGGAGCAGATGGTCTCCAGACCCCACTCCTTATAAGGAGCTATGGACAGTAGATAGTTGCTGGGGAAGGGAAAGTCATTCTTTCATTGAGGATGTGGCCACTGGTAGGTTCCCACGCTACAGTAAATGGCCCACATTCTCGCACATACAGGCAGCACTAACAGGGCTTAGTGGATTATCCAAAAATAAATAAGTAAATAAGGCTTGAAGTTTGGAGGAGATGTTGGAAGAAATAAGAGAGGACGTGGAAGGGGGAATGGGAGTATGTATGGTCATATTCCATTGTACACATACGTGAAATCTCAAAAACGAAGAGAAATGTAAATTCCATGCTAACAGGACTGGAGAAATGGTTCAGTGGTTAAGAGCATTTGCTACTCTTGTAGCACACCAGAGTTCAGTTCCAGCACCCACACTGGGTGACTTATAAACCACCTGCAACTCTAACTCCAGAGGATCTGATGCACCCTTCTGACCTCTGGGGGCAACTGCACACATGTGTGCAGACACACACTCACACGCACACACACACACAAATAAGTCTTTTTTTTAAACACTGATAGCAACTTTATTTTTAGAAGTCTAGATGGGCACCCTTCATATCAGCACCCAACTTCCAATGGCCATCAAAGAGACAGTCAACAGAGGGATGGCCGAGTGCCTATTAGAGAGCTGTCAAAAGTTTGCCACATGTACACTGCTCTTTGAAAGATGTCCATGGGACTCTTAGTCCTTCACAAATGGTGCACCTGAATATTTCCTCTGTGGAGACATTGTGCTTAGTCCTGGGTATGCAGTGGTAGATAAAGCAATACAGTTCTTGTTGTGGTGAGCCTGCAGGGCAGTGAAGAAGATAAGGCCAAGAAGTAAAATTAAAAACTACCACGCCAGCCAGGTGGTGGGGGCTCACGCCTTTAATCACAGCACTGAGGAGGCAGAGGCAGGCAGATCCGCCGAATTCAAGTCCAGCCCGGTCTGCAGAGTGAGTTCCAGGACATCCAGAGCTACACAGAGAAACCTTGTCTTGAAGAAAAACAAAATTACTATTCCAGCACAAGTTGTGGAGGGTTTTTTTGTATGTGTATATGTACGTGCAATAACATATGTGTATGGGTCCATATGCATAATTGTTGAAGTCAGAAGATAACCTCAGATACCGTTCCCAAGCACAATCCACTTCTTTTTGAGACAGCATCTCCTCTTGGCTTGGAACCCATCAAGTAGAATAAGCTGGGTAGCCAGCAAGCCCAGAGAGGAGTGTGCCCCTGTCCCCAGTTCTGAGGTTAGAAGCTCAGCTCCCACTTCCTTTCTCAGTGAGCCCTGAGGACTAGGCTCTTTTCTTTGTGCTCCCATGGCAAGTGCTGTGCCAAGTGGGCCTTCTGCACCACTCACGGGTGTTTCAAAAGAAGAACCGGGAGAAAGTAGACACTGGTTACGCTAAGAGAGTTTGAGTGTGCCCAAAGTAAAGGATGTGAATGGCAAGCTATGGGAACCTTTGCATATCACCGTAAGGGCTTCCAGTATTAAGTCAATGGGCAGAGAGGCCACGTGACCAGAATTTTCTAAAGCATAAATCTGGACATGTCATCACTCATGAAAGCATTGACTCTATTAGAGGTAGTTCTACCTTCTCTTCCAAATAGTTCTCTCTTTTGACAAGGCTTGAAGAGAGCATCCCTTAGTAACAGGTGAACTACTGTTGCTGGGATAGAACCTAACCCAAGGAAGGAATGCACCATTTACCAATAGCTAACTTCAGTACACCACACGATCTGTAAAGTGTGCCTAGATTTCATTTATCATTCACAGCAACCTTATGAAACACGCGGCTGGAATCACTAATGCCTTAGTTGAGTTCTGCTAAAGAGATATCTGCCAGGTTTCTCCCGAGGTCCCTCTTCAGACACTTGTGACATCTGTCCTCTTCTGGTCATGTGCCAGTAGGAAGATCTATCTCGTTTCTTGTCAATGCGCTCGCCTCCTTGTAGCGAAGCAGATATATTACACGTCTGCTCCTCCTCTGCGACTCTGGTTCTTCAGGGTCATGCTTCCCTGTGTATCTATTACTGTTTATATTTAGTACAATTGCCACAAATACCAGAGAGCAGACAATTTGGTTTTATTCTAAAGGTAAATTTAACACCAGTCCAATGAAAGCCTACTCTAAAATTTCACTTCAAAAATGTCATTTAAGGCACCAGGGAGTGTTTGTACAATTAGACTGGGGTGGCTGAGGTAAAGAAAACATGTTGTTATTTCTAGAACAAATGCTTCCTTGTCAGCCATTGTGAAGTCAGCTATCCAAAGGAGGAAAACATGCAATGAATGAGTGGAAAAGACTTAACATATAGATAGTATAATGTCACAGGAGCAGATAGATGTGCTTACAAAAAGCAAAGTTGGTGGGCAGGTGTAAAACAGGCCTTTATCAGACCCTTACTAAGGAAGACAGGACGTTTAAATCAGCATTTAAGAAGCTACCACCATGGAATAGAATAAGCTCTGACCCAAAGTCAAAAGGACACTGTCATTAAAGTCTGCACAGTATGGTGTTGACCAAGTCTTTTCATTTCTTTCTTTGAGTTCATTTCCTTGCTTCGATAATCAACGCCAATATCTTTATTATTCCTTTAGTTCTTTGATTTGTGTCTTTAGGCTCCTACTCCATTCTACAAGGGACTGAAGTAAAGAAGAAATACTCTTCTGGCACCCAGATTCACTGACAACACTTAAGTTTGCTTTTGGAAGCCGGGCATTGGTGGCGCACGCCTTTAATCCAAGCACTCTGGAGGCAGAGACAAGTGGATCTCTGTGAGTTGGAGGCCAGCCTGATCTACAGAGTGAGTTCTAGGACAGCCTCCAAAACAATACAGAGGAACCCTGTCTCAAGAAAAAACAAAGAAAACAAACAAACAAGTTTGCTTTTGGAGCAAATGCCCAGTGACAGTGATTGATATTCCACCAAAGATAAATATTGGCAAGTGAACCTTGGGACCTACCACATCCATAATGAATGAGTCTGTGTACAAACACCTTGTGACTGAGGAATCGCAGAGCTAATATTCAGGCCAGAATCCGCATTTAGAATTTAGAGTTTCTCTGCCGAGTTCTTCCAATGGCTCCTCCTTGAGAAAGTCACAGGAACCCCGGTCTAGGGGAGTCACACGCTTGATGCCAACGGCACTTTGCTCAGCAGTTTTTTCACCGCATCTTTAACGTCTTTGTTTCTCAAGCTATAGATTACTGGGTTCAGCATCGGGGTAAGCACCCCGTAAAGCAGCGAGATGATTTTGTCTATTTGCTGTGAGTTTGACGAAGAAGGCTTCAGGTACATGGAGAGAGCGGCCCCGTAATACAAGACCACCACAGCCAAGTGTGCGCCACACGTTGAAAAAGCTTTGTTTCTTCCCTCTGTTGAACTGATTCTCAGAATCGTAGAAAGGATGAAGCCATAGGAAACGCAAATCAAGAGCATTGGGATGGGCAGGAGGAGAACACTGACCACCAGCATAACCATGTCCATGAGTAGCGAATTCATGCAAGCTAGTTTCAGCACTGCAAGAATTTCACACGTGAAGTGATCGATGACATTCCCACAGAGGGGAACCCTCAGGGCAAAACTGGATTCCAGCAGGGCAGTCAGACAGCCCGTCACCCAGGAGACAGTGGCCATCTGCACACAGACTTGCCTGTTCATGACGATGGGGTACCTCAGAGGGTTGCAGATGGCCACGTAGCGGTCATAGGCCATCACAGCCAGAAGTATACACTCGGTGGACCCCATGGAAAGGGATAGGTACATCTGGACCACACACCCAGAAAAGATGATGGTTTTCTTGGATGACAGCAAGTTCACCAGCAAAGCAGGGATGGAAGCAGATGTATAACAGATATCCATGAAAGAGAGGTTTCCAAGAAACAAGTACATGGGGGTTTGAAGGTGTGAATCCAGGACAGTGATTAAAATAAGGGTACTGTTACCCAGGATGGTAACCAAATACATTACAAGGCTGAAGACAAACAGAACAATCTCTAACCTTGGGTACTTGGAAAATCCCTCCAGAAAAAAAAAGCTCCAAACAGTGAAATTTTCTCCTTTCATTTTCTTCCTAGCACTACGACCACCGATAATAGTTATTCTAGTAAGATTCTCTTCATTTCATCTGAGGAATGTAAATAAAGGTAATATTCACTTAGCTAGGAAAGAGCTTTAAGACTTAGTTATAAACATAACTTCATGCTCACACACACACACACAATTACAGGATAATGTATTTTTTTTTTATCTAAGGGATACTCCCCAAGATTCAGAAAACAATGAAGCAGAAAGCAGAAAGCCAATTTAACATTTTGTCAGCCTATAATCCTGTCCTTGGAACAGTGGGTTTTCAATAAAAATGTGAAAGTGACAAAAATGAAGAAAAATGTAAATCGACATTGGATAAGTTGAGCACAATTTAGAAAAGTAGGTCATGTACTTAAAGAGGTGACAACTCATACTAAAAATCAGGGATGCTCCTCAGTGGATGAAGGAAGGAATTTTGACAGAAATAAATGAAATTTTAAAAAAAAATATATGAAGAAGAGGAGGAAGAGAAGGGGAGGGGAGGGGAGGAGAAAAAACACTGTCTAGTTTTAACAGCTTATAAAATGTGCTTCAAAAGATGACATTGTTTAAAGCATTGTGATTACATTTGAGAACCATTTTAGAAGTGAAACAAAAATATCCCACCTCACTTACACACTGATATATATCCATTATACAGTTTCCTTCAGTACTGAGCCCCACACCTCATATTTAAATAGTTATAAAAATTTTACACAGCTAATTCTCTTACTATGTATTAAGATCCATGAATTTCTAGGAAATGCAGAAATTAAAGTCTTAGGAAATTTATTTAATAGTTCATTGAAGACAGGGTTAAAGATGATACAGTCACAAAGGGGGCACTTTGGACTTTATTTTTTTCTCCATGCTACATTATCAGAAATTATTCAAAAACACCTTGCTTTTGCACTTACGTCATCACTTCCGAACCTCTTCTTTCCCTTCTGATTCTTTTCAACCTTTCTTCAAACACACATGCTCTTAAATGTTTCCCTCACTGCTATCCCGGCATGCCCACTGCTCTCTCTCCACTTTCTTTCACAGAAAAACCCACCCGTCGGATGGCTAATGTTGCGATTACTCAGGCTTCGCTTCTTTTCCTTGTTTCGGGGTTTCAGTCACTAGAACCTGTGCTGGTCCTCTCCACCTTTAGAAAGCTGACATCAGCAGGGATGGTGAGCGCAGAAACGACACAACAATGTCTTGTTGTATTGAGGCACAGCTTTTCAAACTGCTTCTGTCACATTGCATCATCTTTGCCGCCCCCCCCGCCCCACCGTTGCTCATTTCTACCCAATTAACAAGTGCTTTCATTTATTTTTCCTGCTTTACCAATTAATTCCTAAGCAGCTTACACTGCGGGTCGAAACCCTGTCAGTAGCACTGAATGCAGCTTCAGTGTCCCAGAAAAAAAAAAAAAAACTTCAGAATTCCTCCTTTCTGTGCTAACCAAACATAGTTTTTGCTTCTCTCCTTAATATTTTCTTCCATCAATATTTGATTCTTGTGTTGGGTTGACAAATTGTTTCTTGCGGATTTTTCTGCAAACTCCCGGTCAAGTAAATTATCATTAAAAAAGTTACTTTAAAGAAACAAAAAATGTGTACGGCTGTTAAGACCAACAATATCTTGAGTGCTCAGAATTTGATATTTTTATACTGCACAAAAATAGCAGCCAATGAAAAATGGTTCTGCCACCTGAATTCCATGCTATAAGTGCCAAATAAAAATGTTTTATAGTATACTCCATCAGTTAGTTATGGCTAGTTATGAATAAAGAAGAATGAATATATCCATGTTAAAACTGTGAAATGCTACAGAAAAATCAATTATGCAATTAATTTCTTTCAAAATGACCAGATGTTACCAACATATAACCAAAACTACCAAAGGATCACAACTGCAATACTATATAAGTTTAAATCACCTGCTGTTTGGGGGAATACTTGTTGTCCCTGAACAATTTAAAGTTCAGCAGCAATAATAGACAGAGGTTTGAAACTTCTCATCCTTCAGGGATAATGTCCCAAAGATGCAATTATATCAAACTTTTAAAGACTTCAAAGCAAATGATAGGTCTTTCAAAATACTTGCAAAGATCTCATAACAATCCCTAGTATGTCAAGTATGTCAAAGATTTTCTTTGTAAGTGGCTGTAATATAGAATATTCAACAGACATATATTCTATGAGTTCTAAGATATGTGGCTTTTCTATCTGTGAAATTACTTCCGAGTTTTCATAAATTAAGGGTATTTGTTCTTTTAAAGCGCAAATCACTCACTGAATGTCTCAGTGAGTGATCAGGAATTCTACTTAATGTATTCCTGTTGACAGGACCTTATTACAGCAATAGGACATCTGAGGTCTAGATGTCAGCTTATGAACAGAATTGTGACCCAAAAGTAAATTATTTTTTTGGAAAAGTAGCTGCTATAAAAATGAACAGAGAAAATATTAATTGTTTATCTTATCATGCTAGAATGCAAGGATACGCAAAGAGTGACAGGAACATTTCACAGACATTCACCTGATGAATCACACTTGCCAAATCCAGGAAAGCTTATCTTGGGCATCAATTTTTAGAAACCTGCAAATTAACGGACATAATTCATACAATAAACTTAAAATGCATCAGTTCATTATGCTATAAATAAGGATGAAAATCTCTTTCCCTCCCCCCATAAGCTGCCCAAAAATCATAAACACAGAGGAAAAAAACGTCAGAGCAATCCAAATTAAAGGTGATTTTAGGAAATAGATAACACAAAAAGTTGTGAAACTACAAGATAGATACATCGTGTCAAAATACCTCATGGAAAACTACTCAACAATTTCAAAGATAAGATAATAACTTTACAGTCCTGGAAGGATCATCTTAACATCACCAATATTAGGACAAACTGACTCTGTGTGCAGCTGAGAGGGTGCACTGTAGTTACTGGACCATTTCTGCGGTACGACCATCCAAAACAAACCACCCGAATGCAATCGCGAGGAAAACAAGCACATCAAGGTTCGGGGGGGGGGTTATTCTTTAAAACAATGTGTACCCTCTTTCAAAATATTAAGACAGGAAAAAAGCAAGCAAACAAATATTCCGTGCAGTTACTATGTGATAATATATATATATATATATATATGTAAAGCAAATTCTCTTCAGTTTGCTCTTAACTACTTCATTAAACTGTCTTTCAAACTGGGAAGATGGTGAGCGTGCCAACGCACCCCTTGGTCGGTTGTGGCCGTGCTGTCCATCTCTTTCCTTTTTCCCACGGGCATCTAAACTGGCCCTGGACTTGTGATCCTCCTGCCTCAGGCTCCAAGGTCTGGGATCATCCTAGACGACTTGTAGCACCGGGCCGTGTTTTTTACATCCTTATTATGGTTCGTTTATTCTAAATCACTGAGGGTAAGTGGATGCTTTAGGCAGAGGGTCGCAGAAAAAAAAGTTGATGACCACATAAATAGCAAAAATTTTTTCTTCTTCTTAGGAGGAAAAGTAATAACAGCTAGATTGAATGGTCTAAGGATTGAAAAATGAGTAGAATTAAGTAGTAGAATTTTGAGGGGGTGGTAATGGGTTACAGAGGCCTATCTAGGGTATGTTTGAAATAGGTATGACTGTCAGTATGCTGGCTTTATTGTAAAACTTAGGAAACCTCATGATTTCATGTTTTAACATTAATCTTGAATGGTCTCCTAAAGACCAGTGGCCATGTTTCTCCTGTTATAGGGCAATAAAGCCAAAATTATTTTTTATAAGACAATTGACAATGAGACTATAGTTTATAGTTTTAGAAAGAAGCAACAACAACAACAACAACAACAAAACTCTCTTGGAACTAGTTAGAAACTACAATAAAACTCAAAGATATATGACTAATAGGTATTAAGTTACCAATATGGGGTTTCTCAAGTTTTTATGTAGGCATTTAGCAATATGAGCTTTTCTCTTAGAACTGCCTTCATTATATTTAATAGATTTTGGTATGCTGTTGTCTTATTTTTCATTCAGTTATAAAAAGCTTTTGATTTACTTTTTGAATTCTGCATGGATCTATCTAATTTTCATTCAGTAATGAGCTATCTAGCTTCCATGACTTTGTATGTTTATTTCTATTTTTTATCATTTTTTTATTTAGCTTTTCACACATGTTACTCCCAGCTCCCTCTCCCTCCCCTCCTCCCCCTCCCCAACCCCCCAGCACTGTCCGTACTCCACCCCCCCCTCTGCTCCCCAGGGAGGGTAAGGCCTTCCATGGGGGATTTTCAAAGTCTGTCATATCATCCCAGGCAGGGCCTAGGCTCTCCCCCATGTGTCCAGGCTGAGAGAGCCTCCCTCTTTGGGAGCCCATGTGGAGTGGGCTCCCAAAGTCCATTTGTGTGCCAAGGATAAATACTGATCTACTACCCGAGGCCCCATAGAATTTCGAGGCCTCCTCTGTGAAACCCAGGTTCAGGGGGGGTCTGGATCAGACCCTTGCTGGCCTCTCAGTCATTAGTCTGGGGTCCATGCTTTCCCGCCTTGTTTAGGTCAGCTGCCTCTGTGGGTTTCACCAGCTGGGTCTTGATTCCTTTGCTCATCACTACTCTTTGCAACTGGATTCCAGGAGTTGAGTTCCGTTTTTAGTTGTGGGTGTCTGCCTCTGCTTCCGTCACTGGATGAGGGTTCTAGAATGGCATATAAGGTAGTCATCAATCTCATTATCAGGGGAGGGCATTTAAGGTAGCCTTAAGGCCATTTGGTGTCATTCTTGTAGATCTCTGAAAATCTCATTAGTGCCAGATTTCTCTTTGAACCTATAATGGCTCCCTCTATTATGGTATCTCTCATCCTGCTCTCCTCTGTTCTTACCCTGACTCAACCTTCCTGCTCCCCCATGTCCTCCTCTCCCCTCTTCTTCTCCCCCTCTCTTTCTCCCAGCTCGCTCTCCCCTCTCTCCCCCCATGCTCCCAATCTCCTCAGGAGATCTTGTCCCATTCTCTAGGTTACCGTACATATCTCTCTTAGGGTCCTCCCTGTTTCCCAGACTCTCTGGCAGTGGGATTGTAGGCTGGCAATCCCCTGATCCATTTCTAAAATCCGTATATGAGAGAGTACATACCATGTTTGTCTTTTTGTGACTGAGTTACCTCACTCAGGATAGTTTCTTCCAGTGCCATCCATTTGCCTGCAAATTTCAAGATTCCATTTTTTTCTGCTGAGTAGTACTCCATTGTGTAGATGTACTACACTTTCTCTATCCACTCTTCAGTTGAGGGTCATCCAGGTTGCTTCCAGGTTCTGGCTATTACAAATAATGCTGCTATG